ACACACATGCACACAAACACACACACACAAAAAAAAAAAAAAAGTGTGCGTGCATGGGTGTGCGTCCGTCTCTATCGTGCACCGTCCTCTCCACCTGTCTTCTGTTTTTAGCACAGAGATACGATACGCACAGCAACGGCGGAGGCCTGCCGATGTCTTTTGAAAAGTAATAAGCTCAAGCCTTTGCTTCGACCATACGGAGTTGTCGCGTGGATTCTGGAAATCATGCAACGTGTCCCGAAAGGGCTGATTTGTGCAATCCTTGTTCCCCGCCTTCAATGAAATTCTTTGGACGTTGTCACTTGATTGCGGGAAAGGTAACTAAAATCAGTAGCGAGTATAATACCTGCGCTCAAATCAGTCGTGAGCTTTCTCGCAATAAAAGAAGAAGAAACAGGACGAGTGGAAGCTTTGCTTTGGCATCACAGGGAACGATGGCCGGTTCTAGAAGTTGTAATCCTGAACACGACAATGTTCTAATTTGGATTTCTCACTGCTGTGGAAGTTTGTTTCGGTTTAGACATGATGTACACGTCCTCTGTGCGGCAGGTTTGCGCGTGAAACTATGATAGGACAAGAATCGTATCGAGCATAAAATCACTGTGTGGATTGGATCATTCCGATCTGTAGTCAGAGTATTGAAGCAATGGTGCGCCGGACGTGAACTGGCGCCACGTGTGCTCTTTTATGTTTTCCTTTGATCCTGGGTCTGCGTTCGGGCGGGAGGGAAGTTTTGGTGGGTGGAGAGAGAGAGAGAGAGAGAGAGAGAGAGAGAGAGAGAGAGAGAGAGAGAGAGAGGGCCTCGTCATTTGACTACTGTAGTGACGGGCAGAAATGAATTGACGAGATCCCCACGGTCACGAGGGGCGAAAGAAAATGACAGGGTCTACAAATGCCTGGTCATCTGATTAGTGGTGCACATAAATGGACTCACGAGTTTTCCACTGTCCCAAAAAAACAAACGAAAAAAAACAAAAAAAGAGGTAACCGAATGCCCCGTCACATGACGAATTGATTAGAGAGACTCGCACTGTTTAATATCGAAGACCCTTCCCTTATAGTTCTGTGCATGTTTTCTTTGGGAAAAGTTATAAAACCTCCCGGCGATAAAACCTTTGCACTCATTTCTCCCCCAAACGGGCAAAAAGTGTCACAGGCCCCGGGGCCAAGTCCCACCAGCATTGTGTAGTTGTAGTTACCTACGGTGAAAAAAAATAGAAAAAAAAAGAAAAACATAGAAAAAATAAATATTGATTGATTGATCCATTGATTGATTGATTGATTGATTGATTGATTGATTGATTGATTGATTGGTTGGTTGATTGATTGCTTGATTGATTGATTGATTGATTGGTGGGGGAGGGGTCCTCCCTCCTCTTCCCCCCGCACAGTCACACACACACACACACACACACACACACACACACACACACACACCCCTACACTCTGCTACATGCTGCGCCTGCACACGGGCCCCATTTGAGGGGCTTGACGGTTGCTGAGGGGCCCACAGGTCGCAGACTCCAAATATAGGTGGCAGTAATTACTTATTTATTTACTTACCTGTTGTCCTATTCTGTTTCTGTGCAGACGTCGTTTCGGACTTGCAGGCCCAAAGGCAATGCCTTGGGCCAGCTACAGAGGGACGAGGCCCTTACGAAAGCAGGTGCGTACCAACGCCGTTTCGGACTGCAGGCACCAAGGCAGCGCCTTGGGTCAGGAACACAGGAACCAGGCCTAACCAAGGCCAGGCGCGTTTTCGCGCCTTGCTGCATCAGCCTCATGGTCTGGACGTCCGGTAGGGACCCAGACCTGCTGGGCCGTTTGAGGCCAGCACCAGGCAGACCCAGCCTCGCCCAGCGCTATAGATAGCTGGGCAACGGCTGGGTACACACAGTTGAGTAGCTCACTTCTTGAGCGATGCACTACTGGAAGGAGGCTGTGCTAATTTTGAGCGCTGCGCTGCAAGGCTGAACGGAGAGGCAAAGGTGGGAGTGAGAGGCGGAGGCCATACCTGCAGTGGCCAGCTACACAGTACCTGCACAGGACAACCACGGCAGTACAGCGGCCGTTACCTGCAGGTGAGGCAGCGAGGAGGGTGACATCTTCTTTTTCCTTCTCGCCCTTCATCTCTCCTCCTCTTTTCCTCCATCTCCCTTCTTTTTCTTCTTCTTCTTCTTCTTCTTCTTCTTCTTCTTCTTCTTCTTCTTCTTCTTCTTCTTCTTCTTCTTTAGATACGAGAGTGAGAGAGGTAACATGTAGAGGATACAGGCAGAGGTTTCAGTGGGCATTGCGCCCAGGATCTGGTTCAACATTTTTGAGACAGACATTGATTGGACATCGGCAAGGGACTATTTTTTGGACATTGCCATTGCGATCTTGGTCTTCTCCCTAGCCTCCATCTTTGTCTCACCTCTCCCCGCATCTCATGTCTGTGGCATCTCCCCATGTGTGTGCACAAGGAGGGACCTTTCTTCATTGTGTGGGGTCCCTCCTCCTTCTCTCACATGTGTGATGTATGATGGGATGTCGTGTCAGTCCGGGTCAGGTCAGGACCTATATCCAAGTCTTCCACTGCGCTAATGTATCAGGGTATACATTGCTTGTTGATGTTTCACTAACATTGCATCGTCCATTCAGTCCTTTTCATCACATTGCGGATCCTTGGTTGTGCATACATTGCCCGACTGGGCATGTATCAATTGGTATCTTAGCCCCGCACGGCGCACGTGAATCAGGACAACCTGATCTGACACGTGTGCGGGGACTATTGATTAGTGATTGATTGATTAGTCATTGATTGATTAGTCATTGATTGATTGATTTGTTACGATCCTGGTCATTCCCAAAGTGCAATTTCACAATGAAAGACAATGCCACCCAATTGCGAAGGAAATGAAAGCACTTGCAAAAAGATAGAGACCAAAGAAGAGAGAAGAAGAAGAAGAAGAAGAAGAAGAAGAAGAAGAAGAAGAAGAAGAAGAAGAAGAAGAAAAAGAAGATATGCACCAGCAAGACCAATGACAAATCCCCCTTCTCTCTCCACCTTCCTCCTCCTCCTTCACTTCGCCAATCTTATTCTACTTCCAGTAATAATAATATCAATGAGTGGATGAACCAGAATCAATATCCGAAGTTCCCTCTTACTGCTGACACAACAACAGGTCCACCATAGATATGGCTTTCCCCTGCTTCTTCCACCTCTCAAATGCCTAGGCTATGGCCGACTACTGAGGGCTCTACCCTCCTGTGCAAAGGACAACGCAAAGCAGCTATGTCGCTGCACTCCTGTCCAAAGGACAACGCAAAGCAGCTATGGCCCTGCTGACTCAGCCGCCATGCCTGACTCTGTCAAGAGCTTCCCTGGTGTAGTACTACCCCAACTGGGGCCTTCCAGATGCAGCGCCCAACAAGTTGATGAAGACGGTGTCCACCATGGGCAGGTAGGTACCTCGCCACTCTCTTCCCTAGCCCCCTTCTTCCTCCTCCTCAAACTGGGCTGCTCGCCATAGCCAGGCTGAGCGCCCAGCTGCCCTTCACTTCCAGGCAACGCTGTACCAGTCCATTTTAGTTTGCAACAGTGCCTTTTCTCTGCTGCTCTGTTTCTCCGTCCCTTTATCCCAACCCCCGGTGCTCTGTACCAGGTCGCATTTCAGTTTGCAACAGTGTCTTTTCTCTGGTGCTCTGTTTCTCTGTCCCTTTATCCCAACCCCCGGTAAGCTGACAGACGTACCCGCTTGATATGTTGCGTAGAAAGCCACAGTCTACCAGCACCAGTATCTTTGTCCAACATGAAAAAAAAGAAAATGGGGCTTGCATGCACCCCAACATTGGGGGCTCGGCTGGTGGAGCAAAATAAACAGCGGCGCCAGCCAAAACGGCCTAGCTCAGTTGATTAGGCACGCAAGTGGCATTCAGGAGGTTAAGGGTTCAAGCCCCATGACCGCCTGCGGCGCACTTAGTGCCAACGAACTGGGATAGTCCTCTGGATACTCCTGATCGGTATTAGTGGAATCTATGACCAACATCGGTGTGAGTGTGAGCGCGAGTGAGTTGTGTGTGGTGTGTGGGAGAGTGTTGGCCATAGCCACTGCTGCTAATCTATGAGGGGTGGGGGACGATGAGAAAGGGAGGCGCAGCTACTGGCAGGTCTCGGTCTTTGTGTTAGCCAGATCCCCACTGGCGGCCCTAACCCTATACCCTAACCATTAGGGGCAAGGGGCAACATGAAAACTCCCCTTCACAGTAAAGTGGAAACTATGCTTGCAGGGGTCCCCTCTAGATAGCCTTAGGAGTAGGTAGTGGAAGGCAAAGTTGAGAGAAGAATAAAAATTAAAAAAAAAACAAGGGATTTTTTTTGAAATGCCCCTGAATTGCGATTTGCCCCTCCGATGGCGAAGTTACCCTAATTTACCCCGACAGTGATTCAAGTTTCCAAAAAACCCCTGCCGTCATTTGGGCCTCATACATTTTTAATACGCCCCTACCCGTACCAGTGCCAAATTGCCAGTTTGCCTCTACCGGATAGCCGTTCAGTACAAGCAAAACAATCTTCCATATGGCCCTACTGATACGGTGCATCTTTTCGGTATCCCCTTCTGTGTCTGTGTGTGTGAGTGAGAAAGAGAGAGAGAGAACAGGCAAGTCTCCAACCTCGCGGCTGGCCTCCAGGTACTTCCATCGATAGGATGAGCAAAATAGAATGAATCTACAGCTAGAACATGGAATATACACTGCCACACTTGTGTGAGTGTGTGTGCGTGTGTGTGTGTGTGTGTGAGAGACACACACACACACACACACACACACACACACACACACACACACACACACACACAGAGGGGGGGGGGGAGAGAGAGAGAGAGAGAGAGAGAGAGAGAGAGAGAGAGAGAGAGAGAGAGAGAAAGAACAGGTAAGTCTCCAACCTCGCGGCTGGCCTCATGGTACTTCCATCGATAGGATGAGCAAAATCG